ATAAAGTTTTACTAAAGTATAAAAGAGATAGAGAAAGCTTCTGACATAGACATCAGAAGAGGGCAGAAAGAGTGTCCCCTGCTAGTCTTTAGCTGGATGTGATATAGCTACTAGCAAGCTGTTAATTATAGAAAGATGTCCCAAAACTCAGAGTGGCACCAGGCCCCTCACCCACAACTTGCATCTTGAGATAACATCGGCACCAGGTGAGTCATCCCGGGCCATAAAATGATTGACATGAATCTTGAAGAAAGGCAGGTTTCCAAGTAAATATATAGTTTCATTAACTTAGATTAAGAGAACAGAGTATGAGTAAAACATACAGGTTTGTCAAGTGGATTCTGAGTTTTAGGCAAACAGACTTGAAGCAAGAGTCTAGGGTAAATACATAGTTCATTAACATAGCTTAAGACAAACATTTCCATAAGAAAAACACATTGGTTAGCTCAAGGTTTGAGAAAAATTAAGTTCAGGTGGAGCCAGGTGCTGTCATGGCAACAAAGAATTTTAAGAGAAACCTCCTTTTAAATTTGTATAGAGAAGGGGAAAATAATCTAACACTTGTCTGTTTCCTCCTGCGCTTAAAAGAAGAATAAAAAATGTCTGACACTTGTACCCCATTACCTCCATTTGGAGACCCCTGGCCTACCTGCCTGTTACCCTCTTAGAACCAGAGGAAAGACCTCTACTTTCTTACTGGTTGAGTCCTCAGGATCAAGTTAAAGAAGAAAAAGTTTTACCTACAGAAGAAAGTGAAAGTCATTCAGTAGTGTCCCACTCTGTGACCCCAAGATCTATACAGCCCATGAAATTCTCCAGGCCAGAATACTGGAATGGATAACCTTCCCCTTCTCCAGGGGATCTTCTCAGCAGAGGGATCAAACCTTGGTCTCCCACATTGAGGGCAGATTCTTCACCAGCTGCACCAACAGGGAATCAATCCCAAGAATACTGGAGCAGGTAGCATATCCCTTCTCCAGGGGATCTTTCTGACCAAGGAATTGAACTGGGGTCTCCTCGGATTTTTTACCAACTGAGTTATCAGGGAAGCCCATGTACAAAGCCCACCACTTGAAACTTAGAAGTGAACAAGATGTTCTTCAACAGGTGAGCAGATACACTGGAGCATCCATACACGTGCATGCCTCCTCAGTCTCAGTTGTGTCCAGCTCTTTGTGACCCAACGGATTGTAGCCCATCATGCTCCTCTGTCCATGGGATTTTCCAGGCAAGAATACAGGAACAGGTTGCCATTTCCTCTTCCAGGGGATCTTTCCAACCCAGAGACTGAATCCACACCTCTTGCCTCTCTTGCATTGGCAGGCAGATGCTTTACTAACTGTGCCACCTGGGAAGCCATAGCCATACAATGAACAGGTTAAAAAAAAAAGCACAGCTATCAAGCCACAAAAAGACATGAAGTCATCTTAAAGGCATATTACTAAGTGAAAGAAGCCAATATGAAAGGCTTCATTCTGTATGATTCCAAGTACATGGCATTCTGAAAAAGATCAGTGGTTGCCAGGAGTCTGGGGAGGGAGAGATATAGAGATTTTTAGGGCAGGAAAACTATTCTGTGTGATACTGTAAGAGTACATACGTGACATTATACATGAGTCCAAACCCATAGAATGAACAACATAAAGAATGAGACACAATGCAAATGGTGAGCTAGAGAAGCAAATGGCAACCGATTCCAGTATACTTGTCTGGGTAATTCTACGGACAAAGGAGCCTGGAGGGCTACAGTCCATGGGGTCACAAGAGTTGGACATGACTTCACAAATAAACCACGACCACCACATGGGCTTAATCAGTAATGATGTGCCAGTGTTAGTTCATTGATTGTAACAAAGGTATTACTCTGGTACAAATGCTGGTAGTGAGGAGACTGTGTGGGAATCGAGAAGGGGTTATGTAGAAACTTTGTACTTTCTGCTCAATTCTTCTGTGAACCTAAAAGTGCTCTGAAAGTCTGTTAATTTAAAATAACAACAATAAAATCTATGTAACTAAGAAGCAAATTTAAAATGAATTAGAATCTTAAGTAATTGCTGCCTGAGACAAAACCAAAATACACAAATCAGTTATTACCTACAGCAATAATGATTTTATAGAAAAGTTAGTAAGATTTAAAATACGGGAGTGAATTCACTTTTTAAAATGAACAAAACTTGCAAAAAAAAAAAAAGAGTTTAATTCTATCCAAAGAGTTAAATTAAAACTGAATAAAAGTAGCAATATATCACATTTAAATATGAGACAATTAAACTGCAAACAGATCATTTGTACAAAAAAGTAAAAGCAAAATGAATCCAATATGCTTTAAAGAAAATTCCAGAATGAGTTCAAAGGGAATAATGAGGTAGACCACACAATTAATGAATAATGTTGTCACCTAGACCACTCACTCTAGAGTCTGAGCAGGTCAGGCTTATCAAAGGCATGCAGTCACAGGGAAAGTGGCTAATTTGGTTGGGTCACAGAACTTCAGCTGGGCCCATCAGGGCCAAAACCAATCCATCCACCATTAAGCCAGATAGACAGGCTATGCCCACCAGCCCCAAGTACCATCTGGGAGTGGCAGAGTGGGTAACAATTACTAGTAGTGATTATATCCTTTGACAACCACCCAGAAGCATCCAGTTATCCCTGGAGAGTCAAAGATAAAGAACTGGATCAAGGAACCAGTCATAGAGATAAATGCCTCCTGCAGGAAGCCCTCCAGCATTTTTGGCATCACTTTAAAGATGTAGGGAAAAAGAAAAAAGATCTGGAGATTGTCAAGAAAGAACAAATACAAATACATGGACTCAGAACAATAATTTACACAATGAGTATAAAATAATTCTTATTGATTTGTATTCTATTCATAGCATATCCAAGAACAAGAAATTATTAATGTGATGAATATGTAATGAGTTTCAGCAAAGCAAGAAAAATAAACTTCAGTAGAAAGATACATAAAGTACATGGCATTTATAACTGTGATTAGAAAACATTGATAGATGTTAGATCACTCCTTGAAAGAATCAGATAAAATAGTTTTACCTAAAGGATATAGGATGAAGTGAAGATACACATTGGAGAGACCAGCCTCATTCTCCCAGAGAGAAATGAGAGCTCGGGGATCTCAAAATTAAACAAAATATTTTAATGTTAATACTAACAGTGAAGAATGAGATTTAAAAGAAACAAAAACAATACTACTTCTCCATAGTCCTCTTTTTTTTTGTTTTCCATAGAACCACAATAATAAATGAGTAAAATATTTTAAAGATATTTAAATACAGATATCTTTCTGTATGAATCAATGGGCTGGCACTGGCCCTCATTCATTAACTGTCCTTGCTCAATTTCCTTCCATTTCACACAGAGTTTTTGAAGGAAAGTGCCCAAGATAAGAAAGTGCATCCATACCTCTGGTCCCCGGAAATGAAAGATAAGTTAAGAAAACACAAGGTCATTGTGAATTGTCTCAAATTGTTTGTGTTTCTAAAACTAAGAAAGAAACACAGTAAGCAAAGAAAATAGGAACAACAACAAAAATGGAGCTCAAGATAGGAATTCCCCAGGGAGAATTCTCTTACATTGCAAGTAAAGAAAGGTAATGTGTTAATTCTTAAAATAATCATCACAAACCCAGGGGACACCTTCTCTCAGGGTTTATATATCTAAAGCTCTGTGGATCATAAAAGACAGGCAGAATTTCAGAAAGAAGAGGTTTCAGAAGATGAAGAGCTTATTCTATAATTCCAATATAAACTATCACATCAAATATTTTTCTACTCTTTATTTATCAATAATTTTTCTACTATTTATTTTTCAGGAGTGTCAACCTGATAAGCCTTCTTAGCTGTGAATTTGAATACGCAACCAGGTAGGAGAATGCACCAGGAGACAGGCTTGACAGTTGTCCATATTCTCTGTCTTCTTGCCTGTACTAAATTTATAAGCCAAGGATTTAGACCTGTTTTCTATCTTATGATGAACCTTGTGTTTGTGGATTATGAAGGCTCTTTACTGCCTACAATTTTATTGCCATATCGCTATAAATTCTCCAAAGTAAATATGTAATCTCTAAATAGTCACGATGCAGTGAAATAGATCGTTTAATACAGAAGGTCCAATTGCTTTTTTTTAATGTTAGGAAAAGGTTTTTTCTCCAAAAGAATTTTTCATACAATTTTGTTTTGTGAGTAGAGAACCAAAGATTGTATTGGGCATATCATTTTTATCTTAAGCAAGAGTGACAAAGTTTAACAATACACAAGATATACATGGCTATTAAGAAAAGTTAATCTGAATTCCTTGAAGCCAGCCTTTCACAAAGGTGTAATAAAAGTTAGATAATTTCTCAAATTTTTCTATAACTATGAAGCCTAGAATCCCACAGGACCCCTAGAAATGTCCCCTAATTCACTTTTTTATTCTAGTCACATAAGATCTTTTGTCTCTCTTCTCAGGGATTTTCCAAACTTCAAGTGATTTCCTTTTTGTTGGGAGCACTCCAAAGTGTGCATCTCTATTCAGATTTCCTTATAGCTCTTATTATTGTCACTGTCTATTTTTTATAAGTAAAAACCCTTCAGATGGTTTCCTACTACGTCAAGAGATAGCAGTGATGGAATGTTTAAAAATTCACCCTCTCTTAAAGCTGACTTAGGATGATAAAAGGGAAGTTGTATCAGAATGTAGAAGTTCACAGCCAGATAAGGTAGTAGGCTGGCAACATGCTCTGAATCTCTGGGTGAAAGAAAAATAATAATGATAAATCTGATGAAGAAAAAAAGTGGCTGAGTAACAGTTCAAAACCAACATGTAACTTTAATATTTAAGAAGTTAATGGTCCAAATATCATACAACTTCTGGTGCTGTGACTATTTAAAATAACAATGCTCTCCCTCAAGATATTATTGTCTAAATAGAAAAATCCTCAGCAGGAGGACTCTGGTTCTCAAAGGAGATAACATTTTGTATATTGCTTTGTCTTTTAAGTGATGATGAATCAAACCTCAGTCACTGAATTTCTTCTCTTGGGAGTGACAGACATCCAAGTACTGCAGCCTGTTCTCTTTGTGGTTTTCCTTGCAATTTACTCTCTCAGTTTGTCTGGGAATGGAGCCATCCTGATGGTTGTCATCTCTGATCCAAGACTCCATTCTCCTATGTATTTTTTTCTGGGAAACCTGTCATGTCTAGATATCTGCTACTCTACGGTGACACTGCCAAAGATGCTGGAGAACCTCCTCTCTACACACAGAGCAATATCCTTCTTGGGATGCATGAGCCAACTTCATTTCTTCCACTTTCTGGGTAGTACAGAGGCCATGCTGGTGCCCGTGATGGCCTTTGACCGCTTTGTGGCTATCTGCAAACCACTTCATTACAGTCTTATCATGAATCATCAGGTCTGTATCCAGATGGCTGTCACTGTCTGGATCTTTGGTTTTTTCCATGCCCTGCTGCACTCAGTAATGACCTCTCGCTTAAACTTCTGTGGTTCCAACCACATCCACCACTTCTTCTGTGATGTTAAGCCATTGCTCAAGCTGGCCTGTGGGGACACTGAGCTGAACCAGTGGCTGCTCAATAATGTCACGGGGACCTTTGCCATGGGCTCATTCTTTCTAATACTTCTGTCCTATTTCTACATTATTATTTATCTTTTCTTCAAGACCCATTCTTGTAGCATGCTTCATAAAGCACTGTCCACTTGTGCCTCTCACTTCATAGTAGTTATTCTTTTATTTGGTCCTATTGTTTTCATTTACATTCGCCCTGCCTCAGGTAGCTCCATGGACCAAGACTGGATTGTTGCCATTATGTACAGCGTGGTCACTCCTGTACTAAATCCACTGATATATACTTTAAGGAACAAGGAAGTGAAGGGGGCCTTGAGGAGGGTAATCAGAAGGAGGCTCTGACTTGAAGAAGTCTAGAGAACTCTTCTGAGGCATAAATAAACAAGCAATGAGACAGCTGAGATGTGAAATAATACTGTTTCTCAAATTGTTTATTATATACATATATATAACAGACGGGATTGCTGCTGCTGTGGCTAAGTCGCTTCAGTCGTGTCTGACTCTGTGCGACTCCATAGATGGCAGCCCTCCAGGCTCCCCCGTCCCTGGGATTCTCCAGGCAAGAACACTGGAGTGGGTTGCCATTTCCTTCTCAAATGCGTGAAAGTGAAAAGTGAAAGTGACGTCGCTCAGTCGTGTCTGACTTGTAGTGACCCCATGGACTGCAGCCTACCAGGCTCGTCTGTCCATGGAATTTTCTAGGCAAGAGTACTGGAGTGGGTTGCCATTGTCTTCTCCAGACGGGATTGTAAAGGAAAAATACCTGGGAGTATCTTGTCTAGTGTTCAACAATGCGTTTTTAGATAATAGAAATCAAATGTGAACAAACGAAATACCAGCCATGGAAGTCTAATGCTGAATTTGCTTTTGAGTTACAAGTGATACAGTTGATTTGTTATATATTGTAATAAGCTCTTCCCTGAATTTAGTTATAGGAATATGTCTCTATTGCCCATGTAGTGTGTAGACAATTTGTAAGCCTATGTATATGATCCCTCCAGGTTAGCATCTTTTAATGTAAGAAGTAAAATTATGATGCTTTCAGATCTTGAGGATTTTAATTTAGGACCATAATTACTCAATTATAAATGTAAATATTAACTCACAATTTAACATGATTTAAGGGGACTTTTTAAGAGGTACAGCATGATTTCTTATCTAAGCAGGGAGGCAAAATGATAATTAAAGAAAATGACACTGTAATCATGAAACTGAAAATAACCAATGGTCCATCTAAAGAGTTTTGGAACCACTGTTTTCAGAGATTTTTAAAAGTCAATGGCAAAACTCAAATTTCAGATTGCTATGAAACATTATTAAAAGTTGAGGCAGGTTGAAAAGACATCTCAAGAATATCTTCTATCTTACTTGTGGTTTTTTTCCTGGGTTTCTGGTCATGGAAAATGTTGACTTACAGAAGTTTTTCTTTTTTTGTTTCATTTTCCTATTCTACCCTCATTTCAACAAACTGTAAAACAATGTAAGATGGTATAATATAGGAAAGAGATTAAGAATAAACAAACATTTGTTTTCTCTCCATTCTCTGTTCTCAGTCTTACACTTAGTGGCTTTAACTGGTAATATTCTCATTATCATTTCAACTCCCATGAATGACAGTCTCTATTCAACTATGTGTTTCTTCTGTAAACATCTCTCTTTCTTAGACCTGTTATTTCTGTCATTGTACCAAGGCCTGTTTGCAATTCATTCATGCATACTGGCAATATTTCCCTCTGGGAATGCATATTGCAGTGTTTTGCTTTCAGTCTCTGTGGTTTTGTGGAGATGGCCATGCTCAGTGGTGTCTTAGGATCGCTATGTGGCTGCCTGCCTTCCATAGTGCTCTGAAATCATCATGAATGTCAACACTTGTATTCATGAAATCTTAGCCATCTGGATCAGTGGGGTCCTCTCTGGAGTTATGCATACATCTGCTATTTTCCCCAACCCCTTCTATGGTGCCAACATCATTTACCATCTCTTCTGTTATGTCCTCCAGCTCCTGAAATTCACTTGTTCTGATGAGTATGTCAGTGAGCTTGAGGTTACTGGCTTCCTGTCCTTGGTGACATTTCTTTGTTTTGTCCCCATTGGATTCTCACACACACACACATATGTGTTGAGGATCCCATCTGCTGAGGGCACAGCCATGGCCTTTTCCATTTGTCCCCCAACCTGGCTGTCATCATATTGCTTATCTCTACTGGTGTCTTGGAGTTTCTAAAGCCACATTCTGATGCTCCAGCAGCATTAGACTTTTTGCTTACTGTTTTCTATACTGTTTTGTCTCCAACACTTAATCCAATGATCTAAAGCCTGAGAAACAAAACCATGAGGCCAGCTCTAACAAAGTTTGCAAAAGAAGAAAAGCCTACCTCTTTTGATGAGTCACATCTATTCATTCCTCACTGAGAAACAAATCAAAATATATTGGGAAAACATGAGTCAATCAAGAAATTAAAGTTCAAGTATAACTCATTATAAGGAAAGTTATATGACTGGACTATCTCTGGGCAATAAAAACATTTACATAGAGTTATCTAAAAATTATTCTTGTAAATACAGTAGATTTAAATCTCACTGCACAATGCCACGTATTGTGAAAATGTTAGTTTCTTTAACTCAAAAGACTCCAAGTTAATTTTCCTTTCTAACTCATTTCTTTTTTTTTTTCCTTTCTTGGTTTTCCTGTTTAATTTTTTTGTTTTCTCTTTGACTCATATTTTATCTTAGGTTATTATTGTCTCCTGTGCTTTCTTTGCTTGGTACATATCTATCTTTTCCTTCACTTTTAATTTTTCCAGGTCCCTTTGCTTTAATCAAGACTCAATAGATAATGTATAGACAGACCTTGGTTTTGTTTCAGTTCAAGGGTCCCTCTTCAGTAATAAGGTAATTCCTTTAAAATTTCTGTACCACATTTTGTCTGATTTTTATTCCACTGTTTTCTGTGCTTCTAATGCTTTTGAACTGTGGTGTTGGAGAAGACTCATGAGAGTCCCTTGGACTGCAAGGAGATCCAACCAGTCCATCCTAAAGGAGATCAGTCCTGTGTGTTCATTGGAAGGACTGATGTTGAAGCTGAAACTCCAGTACTTTGGCCACTTCATGCGAAGAACTGACTCATTTGAAAAGACCCTGATACTGGGAATGATTGAAGGTGGGAGGAGAAGGGGACAACAGAAGATGAAATGGTTGGATGGCATCACTGACTCAATGGACATGAGTTTGAGTAAACTCCAGGGAGTTGGTGATGGACAGAGAGGCCTGGTGTGCTGCAGTCCATGGGGTCACAAAGAGTTGGACACAACTGAGCAACTAAACTGAACTGAACTGAATCTCTTGCTTTCTTATTGTTGTCTTTGTCAAATGTCATTCATCTCTGTCATATTTTACCTTTGCTATATGTTCTTTCTCTTTAATGACAGTGATTGTAAGGGCATCTGATCATTGCTTTCTGGCTCATTTCTATCAAAGTAAAGAAAAACACATTTTTTTCTGAGTTACAATCAAGTTTGGAATGTTATATCCTAGGTAAGCACGTAAGAGAACCACTTGTACCTCAATGTTTTCTGTCTGTTTAGGAGTCCAACTAATGTTCTATTACTCTTACAGGATTTCAATTGGTAATACACATGGTCACCATAGAAAAGTCTTATTATGTCATCTGGGTTGCATCCTTGTCTTTCATGTGAGCAAGAAGTTTAAAAAATACAACAATTGGTGACTTATAAAATATATATAGGAATAAATACAAACACAGTTAAATTAATATGTTTTTAAAAGGCACATTTGAAAAATAAGCAAAAAGTATCATGTAAATATAATATACAGTGACTAAAATGTAAAACTTAATGTGTGGTATAAGCAGCAGATAAAATACAAGAAAAAGCAGAATGAATTAGCTGACAGATTCAAGAATTTCCCATAAAAATGAGAATAAAAGAACATGAACAAGAACTTAGGAGTCATAAAGATAGGAAAAATATTTAATATTTGTGTAATAATAGTTTCAGAAAGATCTACTTTCCATGCAGTGGAGGGAATACGTAACAGGCAGTATTCAGAGAAATAACTTTAAAGGTTTTTATTCCAGAACTCATAGAAATAAACATAGACCTTCAGGTTTGAGAAGCACTACAAAAATTGGCCAGTATAAGTAAAATGAATACAAATGCAGTTATATCATTCTGAAACTATAAAATAATAAAACTAGAAATTTTAAAAACCTTAAAACAGAAAAACTGATTTAAAAATACCAGTTATATCCTAGAAGTTTCATTATTTTACCTTTTTTTTTTAGTTCCATAATCCATTGGGAAACAATTTTTGAGATGGCATAAGGTAGATGTCATTCTTCATTTTATTCATTGATATCCAATTAACTACAATAATTAATTGAAAAAAAATTTCCCCCTAAAGAATTTCACTTGGTGCTTTTATAATAAGTTTAATAACTGTATAAGTATGGGAGTCTCATATGTATACAAAGCAGAGACATTACTTTGCCAATAAAGGTCCTTCTAGTCAAAGCCATGGTTTTTCCAGTAGTCATGTATGGATGTGAGACTTGGACTATAAAGGAAACTGAGCACTGAAGAATTGATGCTTTTGAACTGTGGTGTTGGCGAAGACTCTTGAGAGTCCGTTGGACTGCAAGGAGATCCAACCAGTCCATCCTAAAGGAAATCAGTGCTGAATATTCATTGGAAGGACTGATGGCTGACACTGAAACTCCGATACTTTGGCCACCTGATGCCAAAAACTGACTCCTTAGAAAATATCCTGATGCTGGGAAAGATTGAAGGCAGGAGGAGAAGGGGCCAACAGAGGATGAGATGGTTGGATGGCATCACTGACTTAATGGACATGAGTTTGAGCAAGCTCTGGGAGTTGGTGATGGACGGGGAGGTCTGGTGTGCTGCAGTCCATGGGGTTGCAAAGAGTCGGACACAACAGAGCGACTGAACTGAACTGATGGGAGTCTCTCATCTGTTCAATTGTTTTATGTGTTTATGCTTATTCTATCAAGCTATATTAATTACTGTAGCTATACAGTAGTTTCTTATATTCAGTTATTTAAGTTTTCTAACTCTGCTCCTTCAGATCTTACGGTCTACTCTGAGTCTTTTGCTTACCCATATATTTTAGAAACAGGTTTTTAATTTAAAAAAAAAAACAACCTTCCAAGATGTTGACTGAAGTACCTTGAATCCATAGATTAAACTGAACAATCTTCTTTACAAGGCTGCATCTTCTAATTTATAAACAGGGTAATTTATGAACAGGGCACTTTTCTGAATTTCTTTAGGTTTTTAAAAATTCTGTCAGAAATATGTATA